TCCGCTCCACGCACCAGCAAGGGGGAGGAGGGACTGTGGGGAGAGCATGTCTGGAGAGGGCAAGGGGAGAAGAGCCAGCAGCAGGCTCAGTAGCAACTGGGCTGGAAAAGTGAACCCTCCCACCACACATATACACACTAGCAAGGGAGAGGGGAGCCAATGGAGAAAGGAGGAAGCCCACTTTGCTTACCTGGGCCAAAGTGTGTGTGTGTGGGGGGGGTTGGATTGGGTGAGGGGCCAAGTGTAGGGGGCGGGGTGGGGCCGAGCAGGAGCAGAAGCCAGCCAACAGAAGAGGCAGCAGCAGGAACACAGCAAGCTGGGTGGGGTGGTCTGCAGAGCAGGGCTAGCCATCTCCTGGAGCAGGTGAGATGAATGCAATTGAGGTTGCTGCTACAGCAGCAGGGAGAAGCCATGTGACTATAATTTGAGCCTTGTGCCTGTTCCATGCAGGTTCAGGGGCGGCGCTGAGGAGGCTCCCAGTTACTCTGCCTTCCCAGCTGCCCTGGAACCTGCCTGAACCACACTAAACATTCCACAGCAGCCCCAGGTGGCTGCTGGGGCCAGGGAGGGGCGGGGCCCGCACAGCCCCTGCTCTGGGTAGGCTGTGCCTTGCTGTGCCTTACAGACCAGGCACCCGAAAGAAGAAAACTCCCCTGCTCCTGCTTTCTCTGGTGTTCAGATCAGCTACTCACGGCTGGGTACTGGGCAGAGAGCTGGGCCTTAAATAAGGGCCCAGAAGAGAGTGATTTTCACCAAGGCAGTTCAGGGCTGTTTTGTTTCTTAGCCCACTGAAACAATTAGACGTCCATGTATTGTGTGGTAATTCAAGCCTCTGGGAAAGAAGAAAACTCCCCTGCTCCTGCTTTCTCTGGTGTTCAGATCAGCTACTCACGGCTGGGTACTGGGCAGAGAGCTGGGCCTTAAATAAGGGCCCAGAAGAGAGTGATTTTCACCAAGGCAGTTCAGGGCTGTTTTGTTTCTTAGCCCACTGAAACAATTAGACGTCCATGTATTGTGTGGTAATTCAAGCCTCTGGGTCCATTCTGGATTATTGTTTTTAAAAGCACATGCCAAAATGTGTCTGGTAAATGTCACAGGGTTCTCCCCCTAGATACGCAGATCAGATCACTAACTTTACTGCTGACCCCAGTGATACCCAGGAAAATTTGTTCCTCTTGGTTTCTGAGGACAGGACAAGGAGTAATGGGCTTAAAGTGCAGCAGGGGAGGTTTAGATTGGACATTAGGAAAAAATTCCTAACTGTCAGGGTGGTCAAATATTGGAATAAACTGCCAAGGGAGGTGGTGGAATCTCCCTCTCTGGAGATATTTAAGAACAGGTTAAATAGACATCTGTCAGGGATGGTGTAGACGGAGCTTGATCCTGCCTTGAGGGCGGCGGGCTGGACTCGATGACCTCTCGAGGTCCCTTCCAGTCCTATTATTCTATGATTCTATGATTCTATGATACCAGTTTATTGGACAAAGGCTATTCCGCTGTTTCCGTTCCATTCACTGGATTCTCCTCTGACTCTTTTATAGCTCATTGGACAGCTCAAGAAGCAATCTGGAAACATTTTGAAAAGTCTGGAAACAGCAACTCTTGACATCAGCATGGGAGAACTGAGAGAATTCATACCAAGGTCACGAATGCCTTTGGCAACATATTCCTTCCAAAATGAGTATCCTAAAGCCAGTGCTCAATAGTAGTATCCATGCCATGGGCCAAACGCTAGCACTGGATTCCCATGTGCTTGCTTCTAGGAAAATTAGGATTCATGTGAATTTCTTGTAAGCCTGACAAACTTAACCGAGGCGCTGAGAGATTTCCAAAACAATCAACACACACAATAGTAAATAGACAGATGGGAGCATGAGTCTCCCATATATCTGATGTCAGCTCTATAAAAAGGGATGGATGAAAAGGCATTTTCTATCTGTCAGTATTTACTAGATGTCCAATACAGTTATCACTGTAGCATATACTGAACAATAAAACGTAGCACTGAGCATGCCCAAATAAGGACACAGGACACAATCTTGCAGTATTGAAGCCAATGAGATCTTTGCAATTAACTTGAATGGGCATGGGATCAGGCCCAAAATGCACAACTCATTTCTAGCTCAACTTCTAAATCTCTCATAAATTTAGTCAGTTTCAGCAGTGGAGAGAATTCTGCCACTTACGTGGAATGATGTACTTTCCAGTGAAATAGGTTTTGCCCACAAAAGCTCATGATTGATTCTGTATATTTTAGTTAGTCTCTAAAGTGCCACAGGACCATTCGTTCTCCTCAAGGGAGTAGCCATTGGGATTATGGGCTAAATACTTATATTTTAATATCTCTAACATTCAAGTCCCAGTGTCATCTTTAGTTGTCTAGATCATCACATAGATTTGGGATATTCCCTGGAAAGATTTGGGTTCTATAGATGAAAATGTTATTTTTCTCATCTTCGGAGAGATCAAAACCTTCTTGTACAGCCCATGATTTGTTGTATTTAAGTAGCACTCTGAAATTGAAAAAAGAGAGAGAGAGAGAGAGAGAGAGGGAGGGAGAAGGGTATTTCAGCATGAATCAACTGACAAATAAAAATAATTGTACATAAGCCAGTGAAAGTTAACACCAAGGAATGAGGCAAATGGGTAGTTTGCTATTAAGTATTTTATAAAATGAACTGTAGAAGACACTGAAAATAGCTTTCCTAATATGTGAAATGGTTGCATTTTGTGATACATGACAGGTATTTTAAATATTTTAAAGGCAATAATTACTTCTCAAGTTTCATCTCTAATATCCCAGTTACTACTGGAAAATCCTAAGGAGTTCACACCAGCAGTTTGTCTGAGATTTCTTTAAAGAATAGTATCTTGTTCTCACCATTAAAAGTGATTAAAAAAAGAGAAGGAACTTTCTTTGCTTAATTTTTGTTAAGCTTCCTTCATATAAACCAAGTCCCAATGTGAGTCTCACACAAGGGAAGATAAGTACCTGAGGGTATGTCTACACTTGCACCCTTTTTTGAGGGAGGGATGAAAATGAAGACATTCGAAATTGCAAATGAAGCTGGGATTTAAATATCCCATGCTTAGTTTGCATAATCTCATTATGGCACTATTTCGAAATAGCGCTATTTTGAAATACAAAACGCAGTGTAGATGAGGTTATTTTGGGAGAACACCCTTTTTCTGAAATAACTGTGAAACCTCATTTTATGAGGATTAAGGGTAATTTAGGAAGAAGGGTGTTCTCCTGAAATAACCGCATCTATACCGTGTTTTGTATTTTGAAATAGCGCCATAATGCAATTATGCAAATGAAGCATGGGATATTTAAATCCCGGCTTCATTTACAATTTCGAATGTCTTCATTTGCATCCCTCTCTCGAAAGAGGGTGCAAGTGTAGACATACCCTGACTGAATAACTCATTGCCTTGTGCTTCCTGACTCCGTGGCTGTGTCTACACTGGTGTGATCTCGCGCAAAAGCGGCCACTCTTGCGTAAAAACTTACTGCCTGTCTACACTGGCCGCGTGTTCTTACGCAAATAAACTGACGTTCTAATTTATAAAATCAGGGCTTCTTGTGCCAGAACTCTGATGCTCCTGCTCAGGAATAAGCCCCTTTGCACAACTGTTCTTGCACAGGAGGCCAGTGTAGACCGGCAACATGAATTTCTTGCGCAAGAAAGTCCTATGGTTAAAATGGCCATCAGAGCTTTCTTGCGCAAGAGAGCATCTACACTGGCATGGATGCTCTCGTGCAAAAGCACATCTCTTGCGCAAAAGCACATGCCAGTGTAGACACTCTCTTCTGGAAGAGTTTTTGCAGAAGAACTCTTCCGCAAAGAGATTTTGCGTGAGAACGTGCCAGTGTAGAAGTAGCCCGTGTGTTTTCTTACACTAGCATGTACAAATGGAAGTTGTCAGTGTAAATAAGGTACTTTTAGTTTTAGATTAATAAAAACAGGAAACAACAAAAGTAAAGTCTAATTTTCCTAAAGTCTCTTGGACTTAAGCGCAAAGTGGCTACTTGTTTCTGCAGACACCAGGGTCCTGAAAGGTGCATTATACAGGAAATACAGACCTGAATCCTCAGTATTTTGTCAGTATGGTGTAAATATAGAGATGTAGAGATTTTGCTCATATTTGGTTTCTGTTATAAAATAAGCCTTGAGCTAAAGCCAGAGAAATTACAGAAGTAGTTTGAGCCCACTTAGCAATGGTACATTTAATCACTCACAACTAAAGGTTGGAATTTTCACCTATACCCTTTCATGGGGGAAAAAAATCTAGAATCTATTCTAAGCTTTGTTGATTGCAGATTCAAGCAAGCCTATCCAGTGTTTATCTATGGCATATCTTCCTCTAATTCTCATGCACACCTCCTGTTAAGATGAAAAATGCACATATTTTGAGAACAGCAGGAGTAAGCAGTGAGTTTTTCTCTTGATCCCTGTGTACATGCAGCAAGGTCACTGCAGTTCTATTAGTTAAAGAGTTCATTAGGAACTTCACCCTGTTTTATTTTCAACCCGCTGTAATGATTTTTTCTGAAATTTCTGTTGCAGATTAAAGAAGGAATTTGTGGAGTGGTACAAAAAGAGAGAGGATTTGTTGTTTCTGCCATATTTGGTAGCCTACATTAACACCTTCTGTGATCTGATGTAAGTCTGTGTTTCCCTTATAACATATTTATGGTTGGGGGATGAAGGGATATCTGTTGGATCTTATTGCTCAGCAAAGAATTAAGGTAGAAACTATTCCCCACCAGAGTGAATGGATCAGAATAATCCTTGGTGTAACTGCAGGGAAACAATGGAGTTATGCCCAGGATACATTTGCATGAGTTATTCCTGATTTGTATAGCAGTGCTTATTTCCCAAAGTAGAATTTAGCTTAGAGTTAGGGACACAGATGAAAGCTCAGTTTGTCTGGGACATAGGGGTTGAGTAACAGAAATGTTTGGTGTTCGGAAGAGGAGATTAGAGTCTCACCCATTTGCAAATTTCAAACACACATGGTCATGATTTAAAATACTAGTTAAAATAGTATGTAAACTAGAGCTGTAATAGGATAACCGTTTACATGGTTAACTGATAAGCCTGGGCATATTGGTTACCATGCACGATCACACACAGGCTCCCATCCCACTCCCGGGGAATCAGCTGTCACTACACGCTGCTGGCTCTGTGTCAGAGGCAGCAGTGTGGGGTGCCAGACAGATGCTGGTTTGCGAGGGAAGCCAGTTTAAAAACCAGCTCCCCTTACGGACTGGCTGCCTGTCACCCCACGCTGTTGCCTCTGATACAGTGGCAGCTACAAGGGGCGGCAGCAGCCCTTGTCTGGGGAGAGTCTGAGCTCCCATACCCGGTGCCTGCCCTCCTGGCTCCTAATACACTTTAAATGGAGAGCTGCAGCAGGGATAGGTCATGGACCAAGCACGAGCTGGGACTGAGCCATGCTGATGGCCAGCCTGCTAAAAAATTTACTGGTGGGGGTGAGGGCAAATGCATGTGGTCTATAGCATTAACCTCTAAGCTTTTGCTTATTGGTTAATCGACTATACTATTACATCCCTAATTACATGGCTACCTAATTATCCGCTTTTTAACAACCCTAACGCAAACAACAGTATAATCTGATAGCTGCTCGCTTTGATATTATAGAAAACATTTAGCTTGCAAATAACTCCACATAGTTACTGGCTGTGGTGATTTTTAGGGGGTTGAGTTCTCAAAGGTAGATTTAGAGCCAAATTTTTAGATTAATAACAATACACATACAAGGCTGTATATCAGCAGATCTTAAAACACCTTTCAAAGGAAGTAATAGCCTCTGATGTGTGTGTTTGCCCATTAGCACAAGTCTAACTGCCAAATCAGCACACAGCAGTGTGGCTGAAATTCTCCCCACACATAGAAAGCCAGGGGGTTCAGGCTCTAAGTGGATGGAGTCATCAGAAGTGAACTACCCTCCTTTCAGGCTCTAAGTGGATGGAGTCATCAGAAGTGAACCACCCTCCTCCTCCCTCTCACAGCCCCAAGTCAGGGCTACCTCACAATCAGGGTCTGATACTCCAGTCTGAACAGGAATAACAGCTGTAGCCCCTCCCTGCTGCTTCCATGAGGCATTGGGACCAAGCAATCCAGAGCCTGTCCCACAGCTTGCCCCTGCCTATAGGCCAGTTGCACATCTGTAGACCATTTGCACCTTTGTAGGTGGTACAAAGGCTCTCCTGCCTGGCCATCCCCACCCACCCCACACAGTGCATAAGAACGTTTTGTACTGGCAGGGGTGAATTCCAAATTCTGCAAGCAGCTATATTGGGGGTCCTTTGAAATTGAAAACAAAAAACCCTTTCTTATATATTGCTGTGCTTATTATTTATCTGGGGGCTCAGAGAACTCAAATTCCAAAACTCTATAAAAGTGATGGCAAACACAGGTTACATCAAACACTGTGAAGTCAATTCCAATGTCACCATTAGAAATCGACTCACGTTTTGTAATGAGTGAGGTCAGAATAGGCCTACAGATTCCACAAGCCTTTGCTGACACTAGAAGTCTGGGATTAACTTCACTGCTCTGGGTTAGTTCTCTCCATTCAGAGCACTATGTTCTGATCCTTGAACCAAAGAGCTAGTACAAGGTGTATTACCAGTAGCACGTCACATTCTGGGCACCATGAAAGGGTTTGGCACTGAATGTGGGAAGGATTTATTGTCCATTTGCATGCAGCTGTCCACATAGCTGAACTGGGTGAGCGGGCTGCTGTTTGTGGCACTTGCTTACATACAGTCCCTCTAAAATACAACTAATCTTCCTGGGATGATGTGGGCACAGTCCTTACTCAGCTATGCAAAGGAGAACAGGATGGAGGCCATTCCTTTGGCCTTGCACTTCTGGGTTGTTGGGGGAAGAGGAGAGCAGTGAGAGGATAGGGAAGAACAAGTTGGGAGAAGTACCCCTCTTCCATTGCTGGACACAAGGGGCAGTAACTACTGCATGACAAGACCTGAATAACTTACTGCTCTCCTCAGAGCAAAGAGGGAGTGGGGAAAGAACTGTGACAGAAGCGCAGCCCATGTGCTGCTCTACCTCTGAGGTCACAATGCTATGTGCTGCCCTTGACTCAGGAACAGATTGTGACATTACAGGCTAGCTGCAGATTAGTTTCTAGCCCGTCAGTTACACTGGAACCAATCCTGACTCTGGGCATCCTAGTCCTATCCTAACAGTGCTGAGTGGGTAGAGTCCAGGTCACGCCTCCATGCAGAGCTGGTGCATAAGCAAATTAAGGAATTGCTTAGGACTCTGAGCAGCTCAAGGGCTTCCCATCCCCAAATATTCCTGCTTACCATCACCCCTTGCTAGCACTGTCAGTGCCTGCATATGCCAGTCACACCAAGGCCAGGGACATTTGGCCCTGGGCCATTCATTCTGCTGTACATGGGATAAAGTTGTAGCAGCTTCCATTTTCTCTAGTGTATTTTTGTTAGACTCCATAGTAAGCACTAACATAAGAAAGCCTCTAGATGGCATGGTCTCTCCAGTAATTAGCCATACAACATGGTCTTTAAAGTACTGTCCTGGTTTCACAGTGACAGCTTTGTCAGTACTAGCTATTAAGCAATTCTGGGCTAAGGATTTCTTGCAAAAGTGAAGGGCAGCATTTCCAAAGCTGGGCCCCAATGCTGCAAGCACTTGCTTAATGTCATGTAGATTGAGGGGCATTGGAACAATCTGTATACTGGGCATGGTGAAAGCCATTGAACAAAACTATAACCCTGTCTATGATGGGAGCCAGTTCAAGCCAGGGGGTGCTGCTGCTCCCCTATTTCCAACACACCTAGGTAGATGAGTTAAATCCAACAGGACAGTTCATGTATCAAGTTAAACGTGCACAGGTGTTTGCAGGACTGTAGAGCTGGGCTGCTGTGGAATTCAACGTCTCTAAAACCATCCAACACCAGGATGTGAGCAGCTGCAAATGTGCAGAACTTGCAAATATCAGGTCATTTGTCTGGGTGCCTTTAAATGTATATGCCCTGCTTTAGGCATCTAAGCATGAAACTTTTGGACTAATGACTCAGTTCCGCTCCCACCAAAGTCAATTGGAGTTTTGTCGTTGGCTTAGGTAGGAATCGGGTCCGCCCTTAATACTACAAAGCAAAAACAAAAATAAGAGTCTGACCATTCCACGTAGCCTGTGTCTATACAAGCCTTTTCCCACTCCAAATACCCAGTGAATATAAAATATCCACACATATGTTTCTATATTGCACAATTTGAAACTTGCAGCAGATTAGTTAAGTAAGGTTCAATGCCTACATGAACACTGTTTCAGAGATTAGTTCAGTTTACCTTAAAGCTGTCTTAATCAGCTGAAATGCAACAAACAGAGTTAGGTTTCACACAGACTTGTGCACTAGTTAAGATGATTAAAAAAAATCACTGCAATTTAAATGGATATGGCTTTCTTGAAACACAGAGCTGAGATGACTAGCATTCTTTATACACAGCTGCAAGGGAACCACAATACTTTATTGCTGTTGCTTTGATTTGCCAAAGAGTGCTTTACACAATTGTTATTGTGCAATGTGGGAAATCTAAAGAGGACTTCCTTAACCCCAGAGCCTAGTTAAGCTGCTTAGGACTTCACCAAAATTTCCAACCTTCATTTTTCCTTAAACTTGTCACTCATTCCATTATGGTCATATTAATACTTTCCAAAGTTAACTGCTTATGTGCTTTAAGCAAAGTCATATGAGTTTTGTACTGATGCACCTCTTTTTACAATTTGTTGTTCAATTCTGCATTAATAATAGACACTCCATCTGGGAAATCAAATTGATTTCTGTATAATTTCTTTGTATTACCATAAATT